GCCCATATGTATTGATAGTTTTGGAGCTAATTAATTATTAATTGTATCATTAAATACTCAATATTTGTGAAAAATATTTTGCTACATATCACCACTTTATCTTTAGTGTATCCATTTAAGACAAAGAAGTTGATATTTGTTAAACCTTAAAGTCGCATACAATTTTGCATTTAGCGCAGTAACTTAGATTTGCTTCTAAGCAATAGCACAATGCATATTCACTATACTATATTTTATGCTTTATTCAGAATTTTTGTTTTCCTAAGGGAAAGTTGAGTGCATCTTTTTTAAAGAAAAGAACCTTTTTAAGTGAGTGTAAAGAACTGTGATGCTATGTAACTACAAAAAATGTAATAGTGTATTTTAAAAACTAGTTATGTTGTGTTTATAATATCTAAAAGATGGTGTGGTAAGCTTAACCCTAGACGGCAATGAGCTAGGTCAAGTATAGGCCAATTCTACTTTTAAAAGGTAACAAAAATATTGGATTAATAAAGTGTTCATGTCTTTATGCATACTTTCTTCGTTTCCGTCTCGGCACAATGCAGAAAATGAACGACTAAATTTACATCACTTTTGACTTAGAAATTTAAGATTTATTTTTTGATACGTATAGGAAATTTCAAGGAGGTACTCTAGCTTTTTTTAATAGGAGCATCTATCATTCAAAAACTGGATCTAACTTCACTTAAGCTAATCACAAAATCTGTTACAAATACAATTAACACTATTTTTTAAAAAACAAGACCTATTTATCCTTTTCATAGAGACTGCGAACTTGCTGGTGAATACGAAAAAAAGAAAAAAATCGTTAAGAATTTAAAACTTTTACAATTTTGAAATACACAGCCGAATCCCAAAGTTTAAAATCGAGAACCAGCATCACTCCAAAAATACGTTTTAACGTGTATACATAAACTCCAAGATTGCCTAGAACAAGGAAAGAGGCTGAATGATCTCATATATATCACGGATCAGGCTTTCCTAGTTAAGCTGGTTTTCCAAACACCTTCGATTATAAACAAAGAGGACAGCACAAGTCAATATTTCTGATATGAACATCCAACGAGGGAGCTTTCTCTCTCTCTCTCTCGCTCCTGATTGTACTTCTGAGTAAGATATAATAAGTAAAAAATTTTCCTATGGCAGAGTATCTATGATTAGAGTCGCTTGGAGTCGGAGGCTGATAATATTGATTATAGGTGATGAAGGTGTTTGGTTTATTTGTTTGTTTTGAATTTCGCGCAAAGCTACACGAGGGCTATCTGCGCTAGCCCTCCCTAATTTAGCAGTGTAAGACTAGAGGGAAGGCAGCTAGTCATCACCACCCACCGCCAACTCTTGGGCTACTCTTTTACCAACGAATAGTGGGATTGACCGTCAAATTATAACGCCCCCACGGCTGAAAGGGGGAGCATGTTTGGTGTGACGGGGATTTGAACCTGCGACCACCAGATTGCGAGTCGAGCGCCCTAACCGCCTGGTCATGCCGGGCCCTTTGAAATGCATTTCTTGCACATTTTCTCACCTTTGAAATTAACTAAACAAATATGGTCAAATATGTCCATACTCAATTTGTGTATCAAACTCAACATTATATTAAGAGAACTACACACACATTTCAGAATATTTACATTAGGTTGCTTGTAAGGAAGATGTTTAAAATGATTATTAATTAAAAACTATTTATCTTAGGGGAAGAAAACTTCACTGAGAATGGTAAGGTTTAATCAAGAAAATATATAAAAAAAAA